ATATATATATATATATATATATATATTATAATATTTCACTTTTCTGTTGATAAATAGTGTAAGACTTATTTAGATCGTTAAACATTTGATATAGTCTTCTTGAATAATGTATATGTGTTATAATGTATATGTGTGTATAGTATATCTAATGGTGTCATGATTTTATAACTAATAGAATTTTTCAAATTGAATTTAATTAAAATGAATTAAAATGAACTCTTGAATTTCTATTTAATAAATTCAATTTCTATAGAACCATTTTTTTTTATTTAAACTAAGTTTATAAATAATTATTATTGATATAAGTGGGGTAATTAAAAATTAACTACATATATATATATATATATATATATATATATATACATTAAAACGTGCATGAATAAACAATAAACAATAAACGTGTTAAAGAGAAATATATTATTGTAATAAATTAGAAAAATTATAAAATAAAAAAGAATTATATCGTTTTTAATTTATGTTACAGTTATTCAAAAAAAAAAAAATAAATAATAATAATAATATTAAATATAATATATAAAATAATAATATAATAATATATAATATAATATAATATATATAAATAATAATATTAAATGTACATATAGATCAAATTAGTGTGAAATAAAAAAATAAAGAAACAAAAAATGTTGCATAATATCATAGACAGGTGTAAAGTAATATTTGACGTAATACTAATGAGAAGGTAATAATTATCTCTGTAATATAAAAACAAATTCACTTGATTTAGAAAAGAATCGTATTTCTCGTTAAATTATCACAACTAGATGTTGTTTCTAACATTTCTCGTTAAGTTGTGAGACATTGAGACACATTTGAGAATGAAATTGAAGTTTGTATACGGTGTACGTGTACCTGTGTATGTGTTTACTTTGAAACGGCATTTGTCAGTAGTTAAAAAGTGAACGAACGCTTTTGTGAAAGTAAAAAAAATCGCGACGATTCTACCATGCGTGAATTATAGCCGGGTGTGCTACGAACTCTTTCCCAGCTACTTCTCGGTATATCGTTCGCTTCCGCTTTTCTACATTGAGTCTGTCTTACTAATAACTAGGAAGAAACTTTCTCTTTTGAGTTCTAATCAAAAGAATTTTAATCTACCCTAGTAGCACAAAATATTGAATACACATGTGTATTTAATATTAAAAAAAAATATATTTATATGTCTTCTTGAATATCTTCTTAATAAGAGACTAATACTTAATACTTAATACTTAATATTAATATTAAGTAAATTTAATTATCTTAACACACTTAATATTAAATAAATTTAATATTAAATTATAAATTATTAAATATTCATTTATTCATTTATAATTAATATTTCTACATGAAATATCTTTTTAATTATTAAATACACATGTATTCAATATTTTGCAATATTTTGTACTGCTAGGGTATATTTTGTTTAATTTTATACACAAATTTCTATATTGATATATTATATTTTATATATTTCCTTTTTTTTTTTTCAATCAAATTATTTCTACTCTTTTTTTAAATATTTTTTCTTTTATTTTTACAATTAAATTTGTAGAAATAACATATTAAGCATTATTACTATCAATAAGAATTTATAAATATTATTAATATTGTTGCTATATATTAATTTTATACAATTCTTGAGTAAGTCTATCTAATATATTTAAAATACATTTAATATGTACAAATATAACTTAATATTCAACTTTTCTTTTTGAGTTCTAACCATAAGAATTTTAATCTATATTTTTGTCTACAAATTTCTCTAAAGATATTTTTCTTAAAAAAGAATCTACATCCATTTGTTATGATTTATTTCTACCTATTATATTTCCTTTTTCATGTTTGTTTTATTAGAAATTTATAAAATGAATATAATATCAAATATTATTACTACCAAAATAATAATTTATAAATATTATTAATAATGTAATATAATCATGTAATATATATGATATTATATAAATAATGTAATTTAAGTGGTAATTGGTAGAATGTTAAGCTTCTCACCATTTCACTACCCTCTCTCTCTACCATTTATATATTTCTTTTTTTTTATTTTTATTATTATTTTTCTATCTCAATTAAACTAACGTTCAAACAAAATTGGGTTTATACAACCGATTAAAATATATATATATATATATATTATTTATTAGTAATTATTTAATAATGTAATATAATCCTGTAATGTATAATGTATATAATGTAGTATATATAATATTATATAATTAATGTAATATATAAAGGGTAATTTTGATAGATCGTTAAGGGACTTAATGAAAATCTTTCAATAACGCATTTAAGCAAATTTGCAAATTTATATTACTATGAAAAGCTTCATGTTCATTTTCTTTATTATATTCATACTTATAAAATGTTTTGATATTTTATTTTAATTTATATTATATTATATATATTATTATAATATTTATTTAATGTAGTAATTGCAACCCTTATTATTTCTATTAATAATATTTCTTAATATTTGATTGACAATTAAGTAATTGCAGATTTCACCAATCATTTTCCTTGAAAAATCCGTAATTACATAGTTGTCAATCAAATAGTATCATAATAAAAAAAATAAATCAAAACTCTTCATAACATCTAATTAGATTGAATTTTTTAAACAATTATAAAATATTTTAATCATGAAATTAATAAGTTCAAAGGATTAATATGATCTACGTATTATATTAGGTCTACCGGAAAATTCTGTCCGTTCAAACAAACATTAGTTCAATTTTTCGTCACTAGGGGTAAGGCCCAATTTCTTAAAATGGAATATTGGGATCTCTGGCAAGGGCATGGCGTAGCAATTCGACCTATCTAATCTAATTTTGAATTTAGCCACCAGATAGCGTATTCAAGTGCTAGAGATCCCACCAAGTGGCATAGCAATTCGACCTATCTAATCTAATTTTGAATTTAGCCACCAGATAGCGTATTCAAGTGCTAGAAATCCCAATACAAATTGCAACCATGTTGGCAAGAGTTCAAAAGTAATTAAATTCATTAATTGTTCTAATTAGGAATAATTTATTATTTTATTTTATTTTTTAAATGAACTGAATATTCAATTAGACCTAATATATTTGTTCTTTAAACTCACTCCTGTATTAATATCCTTAAATTATATTATAATTATTACCCAATCTTGAATAAATCTCAACAACAGAACAAATACAATCAAATTTATATGCAATAAATATTAATAATTTTAAAGTTAAACAATTAGCTGAAGTAATGTGGGACTTGTAAAATCTTTTAAATGTCGAGAATTGTTTTATTGTAAAAATATATTTTTTCTTTTTTGGAATATCGAATAGGAACGTCTTGTAACACCGTTGGAAAGCAAGCGTGATCCAAGACGATTAGAAAAGCGAGAGTTAAAGCGAGCAGTGTCGTTTACGATCGCAATTAAGACCGTTATCTGTCTTTTATTGCGAGAACGTTCAAGAGGCGCAAAACGATCTGGACAATTTTGAACATGTACATTACTACCTAATTCCTTGCTTGCTTGCTCGCTTGCTTGCTTTCACTATGGATCGAGTCATTGACTTACCCCCAGGCTTCTCGTAAACATATTGAATTATTCTCTTTTTATAGTCATTAATTGAATGTTAAGATACTACTTTAAGATACTTTTAAATTCAAACATATTAATATAATGTTAAATGTATTTTATATATTATCTAGAGTTATTCAAGAAACGTATAGAAGTAATAACAGTAATATTAAATCATTACAATTAATATAATTATATTAATAATATTTATATATTATTATTTTGGTAATAATAATAATAATTTGATATTATATTCATTTTACAAATTTCTAATAAAAGAAAAATGTAAAAAGAAATATAACAGTTAGAAATAAATCATAACAAATGGGTCTACAGATTCTTTTGTAAGAAAAATATTTCTATAAAAATTTAAAGATCCAAAAAAATATGTATTTTAACATTTTTCTTATTAGAACTCAAAAAGAAAAATTGAATATTAGGTTACACTTACACATATTAAATGTATTTTATTTATTAGATACAGTTACTCAAGAAATGTATAAAATTAATATATAGTACCAATATTAAATAATTACAATTATATATTTCAATTGGTTGCAAAGGTCAAACTTTTGTTCAAACGTTAATTTGATTGAAATAGAAAAGAAAAGAAAATAAAAGAAGAAAAAAAATAAAGAAATGGTAATGAGAGGATGGTGAAATGGTGAGAAGCTCAACATTCTACCAATTACCACTTAAATTACATTAATTATATAATATTATATATATTACATTATATACATTATACATTACATGATTATATTACATTATTAAATAATTACTATTAAATAATATATATATATTTCAATTGGTTGCAAAGGTCAAACTTTTGTTCAAACGTTAATTAGATTAAAATAGAAAAGAAAAGAAAATAAAAAGAAATAGAGAAATGGTAGAAAGAGAGAGAGAGAGAGAGAGAGAGGGTAGTGAAATGTTGAGAAGCTTAACGTTCTTATCCAAGTCGATAAATGGTGGTGGTGTCGGTGGCGTGAAGCGAAGGCAATTATCGTAGCGAAAGTTGAACGTAATGGAGAGGAGGTGAACGAGGTAGAGATGGAGGAATAGAAGGAGGAGGAGGAAGAAGAGAAGGAGGTTGGGCAAGGATGGATTTGGGTCGGGGTAACGGCGTTGCTACTCCAGGATCGGGTATGAGGCTGAGTGTTTGGCGTCTGATATGACGGGGTTAGCTCCCTAGGGATTCTCTGAGACTCAAATGGGACTATCCTTCCTCTCTCTCTCTCTCTCTTTCACTCACTCTCTCTCTCTTCTCGTCGCAGTTAATTACAGAGTCCTTCTACCAGAGAGTTCGACCTTCTCCATTTCCTTCCTTCATTTCTTCCTTTTTCAACTATGTCAGTCATGAGAAAGAAAGAGAAAAAGATATAAATAGATAGAAGAAGCTTTTCTTGATCATCTCTTCTTTTTCTTCTTCTTCTTCTTCTTCTTCTTCTTCTTCTTCTTCTACTTCTACTTCTTCATCTTCTTCTTCTAAATTTCATTTTTAAAGATACAAAATGAAAGTTTTAATTAACAGTTAAAGTTGAAACATCTTGATCACCTATCTATTGATCATTTCTATCAATAACGTTGTTGTTTCAATGTTTCATAACACGAGATTCTGTTAATCTTTAATTTTACAAATTGGGAATCTATTTTTTTGGTTTGTTTAATTAAGTGTAGAGAATAAATTCGATTATTTAATATTAAATTAATTTAAATAAAAAAAAACTCGGTATTTGATAGATATTTGTTTTTCATTCAATGAACTACAATTTTGGTAGAATAATGGGCTCCCCAAAAGTAATCTAACAAATAATTATTTAATTACTTGTTAAATAAATAATTAAATTTGTTAGAAAAAGAAAAAACAAATATCCCAAATACTGAAATTTAATTGACAAACCTAAGAACAAATATTTGTATATAAATTTATATAAACAATACATAAATACATTGGATTGGCAAGAAAGTAATTTAGGTTTTCTAGCGTAAAATAAAACTCACAATTGTTTCTAAACTAACAATTGTAAACAAAATTACACAGAATTTGTTTCTATACCAACCTAAAAGTATCAACTACCAAACTCTTTAAAAGAAAAATGTTCTAACATTAACAAAAAAAATAACGAAACTAACATAAAGCTATCTAATGGTGCAAGCAGAAATTACTTTCTTGCCAACCCAATATTTCATAGGACTGAGGGAATGATTCATTAAATAAATAATGAAATTTATTAGTAAAAAAAAAAAAAAAACAAATACCCCAAATTAATCAAAATTAATTGACAAGCCTATAAAAACAAATATTTTAATATAAATTTATATAAACAATACATATATATATGAAATTCGTAGGACTGAGGGGGGGAGGATGGTCGATTCATTTCTGACAGTTACAACGGAGGTAGAAATTTAATGCGCATGACAAGTCCTCAACAGAGAATGACAGAGAGTAGTTAGAGGAGAGATATGTAGGTATTTTAAGAGAGTTTCTACCACGATGAATGGTTGAACGAGAAAGAGAGAGAGAGAGGGGATTCCCCCGTGGGAATCCGAGCGAGCGAATCGTACTGGGATTGAACGCTCGAAATGGAATAATATCCAATAATCCGGGAGCCAAGGGATAAAAAGGGAGGACGTTTTATCGGGACATCGCAGCGGCGTACCGAGCGTTCATTCTCTGCTGCTCTCTTCCATCCATTTTCATCGAACTCTCTCTCTCTCTCTCTCTCTCTCTCTTTCGTTTTAACTCATCTCTTCCTCTACCTCATCCCCCTTTCTATCTCCTCGTTCAACGTATTCTATCTATCTGTCCTCTCTCTCTTTCTCTCTCCCTCTAACTCACTCAGTTTGGTTCCCTTGTCTCCTGCAAACCGAGCAAAATTAATTATTGATTTCGGATACGCGCATTCACACAGCAGGCGCTTTTAATCGAAACCAAACCACCCATCGTGACACCATATCTATATCTATCTATACCTATAACTATAACTATCACCTCCTTCCCTTCTACTCCTCATCCTCATCCTCCTCTGCCACCTCTTTCATTGCGAATCCATCAGCTCTTCAAATTTCACTCGGATATATGTTGTATATCCGACATCGGGTTTTTTTTTTTTTTTATACTCGAAACTTTTCCTGTCTATCATCATGAAGTTCTATTGTTCTCTATATTATTATTTTTTTTTTTAATTTTAATTTTATAATGGTGATATTTAAAACCTTTTTTTTGTCTCCCCCCTAATCTTCTTTCTGTCCCCTTTTTTTCTTGTAGTTCAAAAGAATGGTTTTTTCGTTAAATTTGCGATAAATGAAAATAATGTTATATATTTATGTTAGATGACAATAATGTTTATTATTTAATTATAAGATATAAGAGGATTGATTATTGGAGGACATGATTGGATTATTCGTTTATGGATATCGATGGTCTAAGGACAGGAGTACTGCTATCGGATTTGGATTTCATAAAGTCTTCTCTGGATGTTGGTAAATCATCGATCAACTGGATAAAATAATAAATAAGTTAGTTTTGAAATTAATCGAATATATTGGAGTGTAATTGAAAAATAGGAATACGAGGAATGTGAAATGTTTCTTTTGTAAATAAATAAGATTATAAGAGTATATTTGCTCGATCCTTTTTTCTTCTATTAATTTAATCGTAAAAGAAAAAAATAAAGTTATATATAAGAAAACCTTGTTTAGCATAAAAACGCACATTTTACCAGATTTTAAATTGTAGACACACAATTTATAATAATTAAATTGCATTTAAACGCATTCGGTTTTTTAAACTTATAACAATTTGTTAATATAGTCTAAAAAATATTATTTTACGCGATGTCTTTAATCACCTCTTGTAATTCTGCTTTGGTAAACATATGAAATAGTTTATCCGGTGTCATTGTCATAACTTCGATGTTAGTGTCATTTAATTTTTCTTCCATAACTTGTTTCAATATTGTCAGCGCAGATTTGGTCGCTTCTTTCAACGTCATCGACTGCAATTGAATGAACAAAAATATAATTAGATTTATCAATGTTAATTAATATTTAATACGCATAAATAAATATGTAAATTGTTACCTACCTTATGATAAACCTCTTGAAGATTTTGCTGAGCACCTTCGCTTCCAGAACCAATGGCTTTTGCATCAAATTGAACGAAGGTCCCCGATGGATCCATGTGATACAATTGTGGACCTTTTTCATCAATGCCTGCAAATAACATTGCTACACCAAAAGGTCTAGACATTGCGCTTCCATCATCATCGCTGTCTCCAAATTGTATAGCTAAATTCGATACTGCTTGAGCCGTAGATTCCACTGTCATTCTTTCATTGTAAACAAACCAATGATTTTGACATTCAACACGAGCACGATCTATCATGGTCCTAGAATCAGCCATTAAACCAGACGCAGCGCAACCTATATGTTTATCAATTTCTACAATCTTTTCTACTGTCGTTGGTTCCATTAATGGAGAAGTTATACGTTTCTCGACAGCCAGAACTACACCTTCCGATGTGGATATTCCAATTGCTGTAGAACCAAGCTTAATGGCCTCGATGGCATATTCAACTTGAAACAATCTACCTTCGGGAGAAAATGTATTTACACCTCGATCATACTCTGAACGTGTTAGAAACATCTGAAAATAAATAATATTCATTCAAAATGATATTTAAATGTACCGATTTTAAACAGACATTTCATTTATAATTGATGATATAAAAAGTGAGGTTAAGTAACACTGTAACTATTTAAATAATTTAACTATTTGATTACAAAAAATGTAACGTTATTATTATTTTGGCAATAATTATATTGACAAAAATATAAATACGTGAATAACTGTATAATTATAATATAAGAATAACAGTTGTAAATAATATAAATCAGGTTAATGGAGAATGACAGAGCAAAATGAAAACGTCTGTTATACACGGTTAACTTAGATATAAAAAAATGATAAATATATTTTCAATTATTTATTCCATTTAATGTTATTTACCGTTATAAATATTACACGTTAATATTAAAAATTCAATTGATAATCCACTGCACAATCAAATTGTCACGAAGCTAGTTACTACTAGTCACCAAAGCGATGAGTTGAATAAAATGGCGGGTACGAATTACAGTATCGTATCTGCAATATTAAGTACCACCTCGTTTATATAATCCAATAAAATTTATTCGATATCAATTCTATCATCTTAATTTATTACTTAACACAAAATATATATATATTAATAATTCGTATAACAATTTGATCATATTTCAATTATATGCTTTCATATATTAACATTACATTTAATTGTAAATATTCAAGTATACTTACAGTCAAAATTATTAATAATACTAATAATAATTTAATTAAAAAAATATTAATTAAAGAGAAAAATATGTTTAATAGATATTTTGAAAATATCTATTACTACGTGTCTGGTAAAATCCACCAATCAAATCACTCGAATGATCTTAATAACCTGCTGGTCAAATGCACCAATCAGATCACATGAATGATTTTAATACACGTTGCAGCCACAAAGTGTATAGAGGGCCATATTATATACAATAACTATCAACATAATTTAATCGTATTTGTATTTTCTTTCTGTAAAAATAAATTAATTTGTAATGGAATCCGCGAGTACTAAAACAGATTCAGCTCCTAAACAAGCGATGGTATATATTTGTGGAGGTATGTTATATTAATAAAATATATAAATTATTATTTATTTTTTTCATAAATATAACCTAAAATATTTATACGTTTTTATTATTTTTATCATGTAACAGTCTTTAATTCTACACACACACTCATTATTTTTATTATTATATTATAATATTAGAAATATATATAATTTATGTTTCTAGAATGTCATCACGATAATGAAATTCGTCCCAAAGATCCCATTAGATGCCGGGAATGTGGCTACAGAATTATGTACAAAAAACGTACAAAACGATGTATCCTTTTTTCATTATTTCATATTTACAAAAAAAAAAAACAATAATAATACAATATGTAAGTTCCTTAACAGTTAATTATAGTGGTTGTATTTGATGCACGTTGATTCCTGTACAACATAGAATAATATTTTCATTACAATAGTTAGGTAAAAGTATTAAAGTTTCATATTTTACAAAAAGAACAATATTAATTTATTATCCTTATACGTAATAATTAGTTTTTATAATGTATAATATAAATAATACTTAATTAACAAAATTTTAACCTTATCAACACACGGACCGTTTAACAATATTGTAAATTAATTTGATAGATAATCCATTATTATCTCATACAAAGTTCTCAGAAAATGAAATGCAAGACTGAATTAGTAATACTAATAATATATAATTAAATAAAAAAAATATATATTATTTAATTCTGTTTTATAATATAACCAAAAACTAATGATAATAAAAAAAAACCTTATAAGTATGCTTGCCATCCGGAAAACAAACGACATAAATTAGACGGATCACGTGCTTGTTGTATCAATTGTTCAACTTGACCAGGTATACTAAATACCAAACCTTCTTCTATACCTTGCAATTTCTGTTCTATTCTCAAGAGTACCCTTTCTGCTGTTTTATTTATTTCACTGTATGCTATTAGAAAAAAAAAAAGAAAAGAGAACAAATATAACCTATAATATACTTTGATGTTATGAATGAATTATAATATTTCTAAAAATAAAATTCATTTTATACCTTCTTCATCTTGGGAAGATATCGGTGTTTTACCAGTTTGAATAGTATACGCTTTAGCAGGTGTCATAGCCCAAATAAAAAGAGGATCATAAAGGAGTACTTGTAATAGTGTTATAATTATTTGTCTTTGATCACGTAATACTGTCAATACTTCTTCACATCCTCTTCTCATAATACCTTCCACACCGGAAACTCCCATTGCTGCTTCCATATCTCTAGTAAGACGAAATGGCACTGTTTCAGGCATCGGTAATACTTTACCTTGTTCAAATGCCCTACCTGATTAAAATGAATAGATTTATTAGAATTTATTCTACAGTATTTTTTCATTATAATATGTTAAGCATATAAATCTTACCAAAATCAATATGAATCACTTCGGCAGTCTGTTGATCCATTAATATATTACCAAAATGTCTATCTCCTAAACCTAATATGTACCCTGCCATAGAAGTTGTTGCTACACTGAAAAAATTATATAACATTGTTTAATTAATAATTAATAAATTTACATTTTGAAATATATATTATACAGTTGTTTACCTGCGTGTATAAGCTAATCGTTTCTCGTACCACATTTCAGGTGATGGATATTTTTCCATAAAGAAATGATGAAAAGCTGGACGCATGTGTTTACAACATTCTAAAAATTGTTGCAGTTTTATATCGTTGGATTTATTAGAAACTTCCTAAAATTTGTATATATACTTTTTAACAATGTCATAATATAAATGTAAAAAATAAAAAAAAAGAAGACCTGAAATATTCTATGATCTTACTTGCATCTTCATTCTACACATTTGTGCAGTATAATCGTTTGGATTATATTTTTGATGAACGCCAGAAATTTTATCTGGACCTATTAATATATTTATAATAGGTGTTGTATTATGGCACCATTCTAATATACCTGATCTTTGTGTTAACGGTACTACCTGAAAAATACAAACACATATACACACACATCGTGATATATAAGTTTATTTAAAATATAATATAAATCATTTTTGTACCTTATACGTTCTAATTTTTAATTTACGTCGTTTAGTTTCTTTGCTAGTATCAAAAAGTCTATTCATTACGTTAAATACTTGTTGCATCACAGCATCTTGTCGTAAATCATCTTTATCCTGTAATAATAATATATTGAAATTATTTAATAATATTTTGAAAGCACGTGTACAACAGATACATAGGTATATTTTATATAATTGAATATAAAACCTTTAGTAATTGTTCTCTTTTTATTCCATCGGTACCGAGACAAATAATTTTTTTAGGAGCATTCACTCCTCCAACATTTTCATAATGATCGAAATATTTAATGACACCAATTACATTATTGTAATTACCATTGCATTTAACGTCAACTGCTAAAGTTGGTACATATATGTTTGAAAAATGATTTATCCTTAAAATCTTTTGATTGTTAGGTATCTTAATTAGATCAGCAACTGTATACAAATATAATAATAAATGTTAATTAAACGAAGAATATAAAAAAAAANATTAGTTTCATAATTAGCCAACATTACCAAAGAATGAGATAAAATTTCCATTTCTTGAATAATACTTGATACCTTGGATGAAGCTAATTTTTTTATAAATTTAATAATATAGAATTGAAAATAAATATAACTTACTTTTAGATTTATTATTAGTTTCATAATTAGCCAACATTACCAAAGAATGAGATAAAATTTCCATTTCTTGAATAATACTTGATACCTTGGATGAAGCTAATTTTTTTAGAAGTTTTTTAGCACCCAATATTCTGGGCTCTTCTAATTTTGTATTCTTATTAGTTTTAAGAAATTCATAATCGCCGTATAAATTTTTTAATGCCAATAATACGGGTAACGTATGGTGTGGATGATCCAATGCACAACGTTCCAATGTTTCATTTATTTTCATGGAAAATTCATCCAACGTGTTGTTCATGTGTGCTGCCAATTGTGGTACAAGTGGTAAAAATTTATACGACGGTATTTTATTCAAATATTCTTCTAATAATTTATTTACTTCTTCGTTCTTTGAATTCTCAAGCCAAAGTGCTACCAATCTAAATACCAACAGATTGTAATCTTCACTTTGATGTAATGTTAATAAATAATATCTAAAAAGAAAAAAACAAAAAATAAGGTAAAACATTTTAGTCTGTCGAATAGAAAAGATTTTCTTAATGAAATAATTATTTTATACTAACTGTACTGCTATTAAAAGATAATTGTTTTTTTCCTTTTCGATATTTTCTAATTCAGCAGCATCATTGGTACTTTGTTTGTGATTAATCATCATTGCTTTTTTAATTTCCATATCTTGAAATTTTGTATCATATCTGTGAACGTTGCGCGAATATTCTATACATTTTTTTAAACTTTGAAATTGCGAAGATTTCATATACATTTTAACATGTTCAAATTGAGCATCCGCAAATCTAGCCAAGGTTACTTGAGTATCGTGTAAATTTTTAATAACGTCAGGAGTTTTAGTTTTTATCGATTTACTTATTATCATTGATTTTTGATAATAATTTTCTATGATGGTCTGTAAAATTTGAAATATTGTTATTCTAGTTTGTCAATATATATATATATATATATATATATATATATATATATATATATATTGTAAATTCAGAATATATTCGCAATAATAATTACTTGAGGATTTTCAGATTTCGTTTCAGCCATCCAATTTCCATAAATACGAAGAACACGTGCTTGCAAAACTGGATCAACAGATTTTCTATGAATTAATTCACGTAAAAGATATCGACTGATTTCATAATCATTTCTTTTCCATGCCAATAAAGATTCTTGATAATCTAACAAATTTGAAAATTTTGAAAACAATTCCTTTTGTTTTGCTAAAGTTCCTAAAAAAAAAAAACCAAAAAACATATATAAGTAATACTATCAATTATTATAGAGATCTTATAAATGTATACCTAAAGCACGTGCAGCCATTGACAAATGTCCTTGATTTTGTGCAACTTCAGCAATTTTTATATGCGTATTAACAAGATCATCTTTGATAATTGGATTATTAGATAACGTATCATTTATTTGATACATAATAGATCTCTGCGTTAAGATCGGTTCAATATATTGAAATTCATTAAAATTCATGACGTTAAATTTTTGCCATTTTTCTATAACTTTAGGATAATCTTCTGAATTAATGAAACATAATTCTTCCAATTCGGAAAGCATTTGAAGTTGCATTAATTTTTCATAAATTTCTTTATTACTTTCTGCAACATCAAATTGTTAGATCATTAAATAAAAAGATTTAAGAAAATGTATTTATATTTCTATAGGGTGATCAAAATAATAAGAAACGTCTAATTATATCATTGTTCCTTTTGATGCAAATAAACTTTTATTATTTATAAACGTTTGATATTAAAAGCAAGTTCTTTGATAACATATTGAATGTACATAAAAATAATTTCATAAATTTGATTAGAAATACATTAATTAAACATTTTTAAGCAATAATTATTAATAATATTAACAAAGATTACTTTGTATAAATGCAAACATAATATGTACATTCAATTTGTTATCAAAAATCTCACTTACAGTATTAAACATTCACAAATAATAAAAATTAATTTACCCATTTCTTTTTTTGATCACTCTCTCTCTATATATATATATATATCGTTAAATATCCTTTTACCTAAATTAATATTAGAAAGAGCTTTCATTATACAAATTCGTGCACACTTGATTGAATTTTCAACACCTAGTTCATCTCTTTCGTTAAAACATTTTAACGCATAGAAATGATACAAATGATAATCCGATTCTGATAGTTTTAATTTCATATTGTTTTCACTTGAAAAAGGAATAATTTGTGAAAATATAGGTAAATCCCAATTACTCAATCTCCATGCACATTCCAATTGAATATCATTACTCATTTCTTGAGCAGATGTACTCGTAGATATATAATGTCCTAATAAATAATGCAATCCTAATTGTTGCAACGAACTGATCATCTCTGTCAAACAAAATGTCAATTATTAATAATTAACAGTAATTATTTCATAATAATTCAATATATTGATTGATATAATAAAATACCTCCGACAGCTGTTTTATTGCCTGAAGATAATTCGATATCTTTAATAAGTAAAACTTTGTCCCATTCTTGCATTTGTATGTAATGTTGTACACGAGAAGAACTATCTCGTAAATGAGAAGAACCACAACCACGTATAGCATCTGGATCTCCAATTTTGAAAGAAACATCTCTAAGAATATTTTGCAACATTTTTCCAAGTATCGGTTCACATTCGTAAGCATAATCAATTTTAGTAACTCTACTGAAATCACGTGGTTCTACCAATAATGATTCGCAAGATAGTTCAGCATAAAGGAAAGCGGTAAAATAAGCAGAACAATATTGTGCAGCTTTAGCTATATAAATAAAGTCTAATTCCAAAGGAATATTTTCAACTACTTGTGTTCTAATAAAATTCACTAAATTCAACATAAAATATACAATATTACGATCACAATTTACAACGTATTGAGACAAACTTATTCTTGTTTCAGTTTTGTTGTTGAAATGATAATAGAAAAATCCATTGATACAATGTGATACTGTAACAGCTAAATCATTGTTAATATATATTATTAAATATATTATTCTTGGTAATATTAATTCACACATTTCTATGCTCAATTTGCAAACAGGTATTAAATCTTTAAGATAATATCCTGAAAAACATTCAATCATGTTACATGTACTTTCTATTATCCATTCGTCGTAAGATTTATTATATACGTCGATCCAAATAGGATTGTTCTTGTTAAGATATTTATTACAAGCTAGTTCATCGAGGAGTATTATTTCTTTTTTCTTAACATTTTTTACTTCACATAAAAATGGAAGTATATAATCCAATCTTAACGAAGGTTTCGAATATTTATTCAACATTTGCTTTATAGCTTTGGTATATTTTTTATTTACTATTTGTTGTCCCCATGAAGACAATAATATCATGTGTAAAGCATTGGCACTAGCTAAACGTAATTTGATATCATTATCAACTAAAAATTCAGTCAGTAACATTATTATTTCATACGTTAACATATAAGTTATGTTTTCGTTCTCTTTCACATGAGTTTTTCTATTATAAGGAATAGCAGTTCCTAAATCGATAGGACCTATTTGTCCTAAACATTTCATAGCTTCTATTGAAATGTTTTGATCAGAAGATTTAATTATTTCTAATAATCTGCATATCAATCGATGTAATAAATTATAATTTTCCATAGAATTATTTTCCAATTTATTATATAATTCTTGTAATTCATCTTTCTTTATTGATAATTGAAGATTTAAATATGTCACACTTTCCATATTACAGTTTACGATTTTTTGATTTGTCGCATTTAAAAAGTGTTCAATTTCTTTCTCCAGATTATATTTGTCTCCATTTTTATATTTCAAAGAATTGTATACGTTCAATATTCGTTGAAATTTAGGTAAATTAGGGAATATATTTAATTGTGCTATTGCATTGCTAAACAATTTTTTTTGTTCGATAATCAAATATTCAAGTATATTAATAGCAGTAGATGTTTTTTCCAATTTAGCAACGGGAATTAAAATGGTAACATAATAATTCAAATGTTCTTCAATTTCCACG